GGGTTTGTCATGTCCCGTGCCACTCAGCCTGGCAGCCGCCTTCAATGTTGGCCCGTCAAGTTTAATCAGCTTCCCCTTCACCGCTGATTGCATAATACCTTCATTGCTTGTTGCAAAGCAAAGAAATAGCCTGATCAGCTCAGGGTAATAAGGTCCCTCCATTTCCAAAAACTTCCCCAGTTCTTGGTGCTCAACAGGATAGGAAAACTAAAGCCTTCATTTTTGAACCACTCCAACTTAAGAGTCTTGGGAGGAATGATTCTCTGCCCTGCATACCACTCAAAATAATACTCTTGAGTCTTCTCATCTGCGAACCACTTGGAAATCAGTTGCCTTCAGGTCAGAGGGCGCTTGCTCCCCCTCACTTCAAGCTTCTTGGGTCTCTTGGAAGAACCATGAATGGGTCTTGGTGGAGAAGAAGAGAATGAGAGAGTTGAGAAGGTTAGGGTTTGAGTGTTTGAGAGAATGTGAGACTGTGAGAAAAAAATAAAGGTTTTGAGAGGTTATGCCCTAGCACGTTCTGAGTGGGAGAGGTTTTCTAATTGAAGAGTTATGGGAGGTTTTAAGGGTTTGGCGCGCATATAACCGTTGAAATGCTTCCGAAATGTCAAAAGTCACCCAGATAATCGATTATTTATACAAATAATCAATTATTTGTATGAGTAAAACCCTTTTAAAACACTATCTGCTATGAATAATCGATTATTTTTGGAATAATCGATTATTTTTGGAATAATCGATTATTTTTGGAATAATCGATTATTCCAGAGAGTTGTTTTTCCTATCTTTGCCCAGATAATCGATTATTTTCAAGATAATCGATTATTCTAGTGGCCTTTCAAATTCTTCTTCCCAGATGATCGATTATTTCCCTAGATAATCGATTATTCCAGAGACTCTTGAAATTCTTCTTACCAGATAATCAATTATTGCCCAAATAATTGATTATTACAGAGACGTTTGGAATTCTTCATCTCCCAGATAATCGATTATTACCCAAATAATCGATTATTATCATGGGCTTACTTGAAATAATCGATTATATTTTAAGATAATTGATTATTCTAGAGAAGTTCTGCTTCTCAGAATTTTAACCTTTCAAATTACTCTAAGTCTAATTTGTTCCTTGAATACTCTCTTTTATGCATCAATGTATCATACTTGCTCCAAACAATCATACAAACACTCTCAAATCATAATCACTTCAATCTTGATTCATTGATTATACCTAGTTCAATTCTTAATTGGTTAAATCTTTCCCTTGGTAGAGGTTTTGTAAATATGTTAGCTAATTGCTTACCAGTCTCTATAAACTCTACAACACAATCATTCCTTTGAACATGATCTCTCAGGAAGTGGTGTCTTATCTCTATATGTTTTGTTCTAGAGTGCAAAATTGGGTTTTTGGTCAAATTTATTGCATTTGTATTGTCACATCTCAGAGGTATTTTAGTTAACTCAGTTCCATAATCTCTTAATTGTTGCTTCATCCAAAGAATTTGATCACAACAACTCCCAGCAGCTATATACTCAGCCTCAGCTGTACTTAGTGCAACACAAGCTTGCTTTTTGCTATGCCATGAGACAAGTGCACTACCTAGTAGGTGACAAGTTCCACTTGTGCTTTTTCTATCTAGTTTACACCCAGCATAGTCTGAATCTGAGTAGCCTATCAAACTTAGTGAGACTCCCTTTGGATACCACAAACCTACATTGTTTGTACCTTTCAAATATTTAAGAATTCTCTTTACACTCTTCATGTGAGATTCCTTTGGATTAGCCTGAAATCTTGCACATAGGCACACAACAAACATTATATCAGGCCTACTAGTTGTTAAGTATAAGAGTGATCCAATACCTCTATACTTTGAACTATCAACAGCTATTCCTTTCTCATCTAAGTCAAGATTGCAATTGTTTGATATTGGTGTGGCAGCCTCCTTACACCCTTCCATACCAAACTTTTTCAGAAGTTCATTGCAATACTTGCTTTGACTTATGAAAATTCCATCACTCATTTGTTTGATTTGCAACCCCAAAAAGAATGTAAGCTCCCCCATCATTGACATTTCAAATTCTCCTTGCATGGTTTTAGCAAATTCTTTACATAGAGAGGCATTGGTAGATCCAAATACAATATCATCCACATAGATTTGAACATACATTGTATCATTTTTAAACTTTTAAACAAACAATGTATTATCCACTTTCCCTCTCACATAGTCATTTTCAATCAAAAATTTGCTCAACCTGTCATACCGTGATCTTGGAGTTTGCTTCAAGCCATAGAGTGCCTTTTTAAGCTTGTACACATGATTAGGATTTTTAAAATCCACAAAGCCTAGTGGTTTCTCAACATACACTTCCTCTTGTATCAACCCATTGAGGAAAACACTTTTCACATCCATTTGATAAAGCTTGAAATTCATTATAGAGGAATAAGAAAGAAGTAATCTAATGGCTTCTATCCTTGCTATAGGGGCAAAAGTCTCATCATAGTCAATTCCCTCTTCTTGATTATACCCCTTAGCCACTAGTCTTGCCTTATTTCTTATAATTATCCCAGATTCATCAAGCTTATTTCTAAAAACCCACTTGGTTCCTATAATTGGATAATCAGTTGGTAATGGCACTAAATCCCAAACTTCATTTCTTTCAAACTGATTTAGTTCCTCTTGCATGGCCATTAACCAATGTTCATCTTTTAGTACTTCATCACTACTTTTAGGTTCCACTTCTGACACAAAATCCATAGTATTGCAAATATTCTTGATGGCACTTCTAGTTGAGACTCCCTTACCAATATTTCCAATTATGTTATCCATTGATAAGTCCCTATAAGTTTTCCATTTCTTAGGCAATTGTTCACTTGTTTCCTTCGTGTTTTCATGTGATTCACTCTCTTTAGGCTTATTATTAGTTTCACTCTCCAATAGAGGTTAATCAAGCAAATCAGTCATGTCTTCAATTTCAGTTTGCCTTGTCTCTTGTTTGTTGGATGTCTCCAATAGAGCTCGGCGACATCCCGGTTTTGACTTCGAGGAACTCGGCGGTATCCTTGTTGTTATTCATTGATTTGAGCGGCTCGATAACGGCTCTCAACTTGGATGGTTGTTGATATCCTTTGGAGGAGGACCTTTGAAATATTGGGTGGATACTTGATGGTGATTCCTTCTCGATTTGAGGTACTCGACGGTACCCTCGTTGTTGACTTGTGATGAAAAATGCCCCAAGGAGGATGGGCAAGATGTACTTGATGTGCCCCTGTGTTGATGGGCGATAGATGGGTGATAAAGATTCAGGTGTTTCCCCTGCCATGTGAGTGTTGTGATGCCTCTCCAAGCGTCTTCTTGTTGTAGGTTTTTTTTTCATTTGAATTTAGCTTCGGCCTTTTTTCATATTTGAAGCTTGCCCTTTTTTTTTTTTTCTTAAATGCTTCGGCTTTTTCAACATGTACGAAGCTTGCCTTTTTTGGCTATGGCTGGGCAATGTAAGGGATTTACTTGACCGTGTCTGATCTTTGTTGTGAGGGAAGAGTTTTGCCCCTTCACATGTGGCTCCTTTCTTGATTGCTTTCTTTAGAGATTTTATTCATGATGCGTGCATGGATTGAAAATGTTTGCAGCCCACTGCCTTTTTGGATAATTCCCTTTTGATGTGAAAAGTTATTTATTTCAAGTGCGCACTTTTTTGTATGCCATACATTTGCATTTAAGCTTTTTAGAAATCTATTGGTATCAGGTGGCTTCCCTTTACTCTTTTTTTTTTGGGTTGTTTTGATTTTTCTCTTTAATACCAAACACGTCATTTAAAGATAAGGTTTGAAAGAACTGAGAAGAATGATATTTTATTACAAATCAAAAAATTTCGAGTAGGGTTACAAGAGGATGTTTGAAAAAATTGACTGAGGTTGGCCGGTGTCTGGGCTTGAGCAATCATGACTTTAAGAAACGAAGCTTGGCATCCTCCTAGTCTTCTGATCAATACCGCTTCAAGTGATTTCTTGACTTCTATAGAAGGTGATAGGGCTTCTAGGTCGTCCGTTCGTCTTGCTGTAACGCCTTTTTTTTTTTTCACTTAAGCATAGAACTTCTTAACGGCATCAGAGTTTGCTGGGTAAGCGAGTTCTTCACCATCCATGTTAGTGAGGATCAATGCTCCTCCAGAGAAGGCTCGCTTGACCACGTATGGGCCTTCATAGTTTGGTGCCCATTTCCCTATCTTATCCTTCTGTGCTGGTAGAAGTTTCCTGAGTACTAGATCCCCCTCTTCAAATGGTCGTGGTTGGACTCTCTTGTCAAAGGCTCTCTTGATTCTCCTTTGATATGGTTGCCCGTGACAAATGGCGTATAACCTTTTCTCTTCTATGAGATTTAATTGGTCAAATCTTGTTCGAACCCATTCGATTTCTGGGAGCTTTGCCTCCGTGAGTAATCTCAAAGAAGGAAATTCCACTTCAATAGGCAAGACTGCCTCCATCCCGTATACTAAGGAAAAAGGGGTGGCGCCCGTCGATGTGCGAACGGATGTTCTGTACCCATGCAATGCGTAAGGTAGCATCTCATGCCAATCTTTATATGTAATGACCATTTTTTGAATGATCTTCTTGATATTCTTGTTGGTTGCCTCGACTGCCCCATTCATTTTTGGCCTATAAAGGGAGGAGTTATGATGTTGAATCTTGAAAGAGTCACATAATTCAGTCATCATCTTCTTGTTGAGGTTGGACCCATTGTCTATTATAATTTTTCAGGTATTCCATAATGACATATTATGTTTTTTCTGAAAAAACTGACTACCACTTTACGGGTTACATGTGCGTATGACGTGGCTTCAACCCATTTGGTGAAGTAATCAATAGCCACAAGAATGAATCTATGTCCATTTGAGGCCTTGGGTTCAATGGGTCCAATGACGTCCATGCCCCACATCGAGAAAGGCAAGGGCGAGGCCATTACATTGAGCTCGCTTGGTGGGACTTGGATATTATCAGCGTATATCTAGCATTTGTGGCACTTCCTAGCATACGAGATGCAATCCTTCTCCATAGTGGACCAAAAGTATCCTGCCCTCATGATTTTTCTGGCCATGACCTGTCCAGCTATATGGGTACCGAAGGTTCCTTCGTGGAATTCTTTCATTAACAATCGAGACTCCTTCTGACCAACACATCTTAATAGGATGGAATCAAAACTCTTCTTGTACAGGATGTTCTCATGTAGTACGAATCCAATAGCCCTTCGTCTGATTGTTTTCTTATCATTGTCAAATGCCCCGACTGGGTATTTCCATTCTTTGATGTATTGATGGATGTCAAAATACAAAGGATGGCCATCTTCCTTCTCCTCTAGTGTGCAACAATGAGCTTGTGTCTCATGTCGTCTGATTCTGATGACTGGTATTTCACATCCGTCTTTTATAGCAAACATGGATGATAGTGTGGCCAGCGCATCTGCTAACTGATTCCCCTCTCTCGGGGTATGCTCAAAGTTGATGGATTCAAATTGAGACATCAAATCCTGAACGTATGCTCGATAGGGGATTAATTTGTAATCCTTCGTTTCCCATTCATCTCGTAGCTGGTATATCACCAAGGCTGAATCGCCGTAGACTTCTAGTTTGGTGACTTCGTTATCAAGCGCAACCTGTAGACCCAGTATACAAGCTTCGTATTCAGCCATGTTGTTGGTGCATTCAAAGTACAACCTTGCCGTCACCGGGATATGTTTTCCTTGGGACGATATCAGTATGGCTCCTATTCCGTGCCCCATTATATTGGAGGCCCCGTCGAAGAACATCGACCAGGATTCATTTTGACTTTGCTTTTTTGGCTCATCCTTCAAGGTCAATATTTCTTCATCGGGGAATTCCTCCTTGACCATGTGCTCAAACAATCGTAATCCACGAGCAGCATAAATTCATGGTCTGTGGTCCTTGTAAGAAAAGTGCATTGTATAGGACAGTTCTAATCTCACTGGTCTTAAGGACCCCAAGGTGCCCCCATTATAGGGACCCAATTCCTCTCATCGTAAGTCGTTGTCACTGGCAAACTCTAAGGTCTGCCACAGTATTTCGGGCTAGAGTAACCGGTTATCACCTTGAGTGTGATTTCCGACAAGGCTCGCAAGCTCCAAGGCCAAACTTGGGCCGATCGTACCTCAACCACTCCCTATGTGTAATACCCTCATGCCCCCGGGTGTAGGAGGAACTGTTGTGTGCAAAGGATTTTGTACAATTTTTATTTCAAACAAGTACTGAATTTTTAAACAGGCAAAAAAATATTAAAGCCAAACAAATAAAGCAAACAAAGTAAAGGGAAAAAATATTTAAATTTTTATTTTTATTTTATTAACTTCATCAATTAAATGGGCCTGACCCTCTTAAAACATTCCTAGTGGAGTCGCCATCTGTCGCAACCCAAAAATTTTCGATCTCACGACTAATGGTTTAGACATCCTTTTAAAAGTCTCATTAATTAAGGAATGCCCGGACACCAGACTAATCCTTAATCAATGGTTTTGAAAATAGGTTTTATGGAGTCGCCACCAATGTTTTACTCAAAACATTGGAAAAAGAAAAGATTTTTAAAAGATCCAATAATGGCCTTGATAACCAGAATTGGGTTCGGGGGTTGGTTACGTGGAAAAGATTTTTAAAAGATCCAATAATGGCCTTGATAACCAGAATTGGGTTCGGGGGTCGGTTACGTGTAGGGAAGGTATTAAGCACCCCTACAACGCCCTAAATCGGTACCCTATGATGAAGTTAATGCGATAAGAAATAATTTCTTTAAATATTAGATCCCCTTTTATTGATTATTATTTACATGCTTGAAATTTAAATTATACAATTAGTCCTAAAATGTCTACATGATTATTTTTATTATACCAATATTAATTATAAATAAGAAATAAATAAATAAAAAAGAGAGAAAGAGATTAACTGAAATACCTCTTGAATGAGCTCTATTGAATCTTCAAAACAGGAAGATTTTGGGTGCTTTGTGGCAACCCTTCACACTATAATGCCTCACAAAAATCTCAAGAAATACAAAAGAGAGGGGGAGAGAGAAAAAGAGAGAAATTTTGTGCTCTAAGGAGCCTGGACGAAATTTTGGAGTCCTGAGAAATGAGCCATTGCCGTCTATTTATAGACTTCAAAAAGGGTCCAGAACGGCCCGTTCCGAAATCAGAACGGCCCGTTCTAGATATGGCCGTTGTGCGTTAAATTTGTAACTGGAACGACCTGTTCTGAAATTGGAACGGCCCGTTCCGGGAACCAGAATGGCCCGTTTTGAAATGAGAACGGCCCGTTATGAGTTACAAATTTTATCCCTTTTGATATCTCGGAATGCCCCGTTCTGGGAACCAGAACGGCCCGTTCCGAAATGAGAACGGCCCGTTCTGGGTTACAAATTTTAGCTCCTTTTGATATCTCAGAATGGCCCGTTCCGATTTTGGAACGGCCTGTTCCGATTTTGGAACGGCCTGTTCCGATTTTGGAACGGACCATTCCAGCCTATTATTTTTAGGCCTTTTGCCTGGTTTGGAACGACCCGTTCCAAACTGGGTTTTTAGGCCTTTTGTGTGACTTAGAACGGGTCGTTCCGATTTTGGAACAGCCCGTTCCGGGCCACTAAAACCAATGTATTTGGGCTTTAGGCATTCTGATGTCTTGTCTTGTTTTCTGCATGCTTTGGGGCTCCAATTCTTTTATGATAGAAGGCCATTTTTTTGTTTTTATTCCCCCGGGCGAAATTGGGTGTCTACAAGCCTCCTTCACTAGGTACGCTTGCTGTTCCAAGGTGGGGGTGGTACCTGCAAAAGAGACTTTGATGATAAAGTTAGTGTTTGTGGGTGTATCAGTCTCGTATAAGTAATGCATGTACCTTTGTGTGAATTAGGGTTTCGTTGGGCCTTGGGCCTGAGATCAGTTTATGACCTATTTGGATGTCGGGCTGACGTTGCCTAGCGCGTGTTTGATGTCACTCCGTGCTGAGATGCCGAGCTCGAGCTCCACATAGCGGTACGGATAGTACACTAACCCCCGAGATTCGAAGACCGTGGGTCAAGGAGTTAATACCGAGCTCAGTAGGGGGTCGTGACCCTTCGCGTACGCTTCTTTGCCGTGTTGCCATGTGTCATAACTATCGCTTCGCGTTCCGAAACGCGTGGGCGGCGCGTTAATGGGAATGACGGTTACGTAATGATGGTAGTGCTTCATCATGATGGGGCCTCATTAATATGCTATCAGTCTTGTTCCCTTGCTGACACGTGTTGTTGCCGTTTTGAACTTTAAAGGCCCCTTTTCTTTCTCTCGTGCCTTTTCACTTTACTCTTTTTCGTTCTCTCTCGTCTTTGGCTTCTTGTGCACGCCGATTTCTACTCTTCTACTTCCGCCATCTCCATTCTCCTCCGTCGCCTTCTCCGGCAACCGAGTTCTCATCCTCTCGTTTTTGTTCTTTCATTTTTCAAAGGAGTACCAGGTACTTCAATTTCTCAATCTTCTCCCTCTTCCGAAATCTTTTCTCCTTCTTCCGAAATCTTTTCTCCTTCTTGGTGGCTGGTAATAGTGATTTCGCTCCTTCTACGCATGCCAAGGGTAAAGGCAAGGCGTGCGGCAAGGCGGTGGCCGCCGAGACGGCCGCCGTCAAAAAGAGAAAGGGGGGAAGCCAGCCTCAGGAACCCTTCCCCGTCATCCCTGGCTACGACTGGGTCAGGGTTAACGTGAGGGAGTTTCAGAGTGTCTTCAAATTGTTCATGGAGATTAATGCGATGTGGAAATCGCTTAGGATCTGTGAATCCTCCATTTCTAAGCTTATCCGGCTTGAACCCTGTCAGCCCGGTGAGCGTGTTTATATGAGGGGTACCTCTAACCCCCCCTTCTTCTACATGTATCAATGTTTCTTCAGGGATTTAGGCGTGTGCCTTCCCTTTACCCAATTCGAGTGCAATTTTTTGAATTTTTCAACTCGGCTCCTTGCTAGTTGCACCCCAATTCACCCCAATAGTTGTATCAATGTATCAATGTTTCTTCAGGGATTTAGGCGTGTTCCTTCATTTTTATCAGTTAAGACTGGGCGTCCCTCCCTATGGTTGGGCGTCTTTGAGTGGTAGTAAGGCTGGGGGCTGTTTTCTCTCTACTCCCAGTCTTACAAAAATTTCAAACAAGAGTTATTTCAGGTTGCGCTTAAGGACTTCGACCCGTTGAAAGACAAAGTGTTCCACTTTGGCGGGTTACCGAAGTTCCCTTTTTACAGGCGGCAGGCTCCGACCAGGTTTAACGGGTCGGCCAACCTGCAATTGACGGCCTCGGACACCGCTGCCATTACAAACCTAGAAGCGCTTCCTCATCCCGTTGGATTGCAAGATCTTCCTATCGCTTGCTAACTCGGCGTACAAGGAGAGAGGTCTAGAGAGTGAGTACCTTGTTGTTCTTGGCTGTTAGGGTTTGTGAAAGTTTCTTTTACTAATGTATCAGATTCTTGTATTTGCAGGCATAATGGGCAAAAGCAAGTGGCGCGAGTTGAAATCTCGCTACAATGCTGCCGAGATTGAGGTTCCTGAGCCTCAAGAAGAGGAGGTTACCCCCCTGGATACCCGTAGGAAGAGAAGGAGGTCGGGGGGACCTCCGCCCCTCGTGATGCTGACGAGGTGACGTCGAAGGCTACTAATGCTATCGCATTCGACCTCACCGGGAATCCTCCGCCTGAGGGAGCTCCCCAAGTAGCCGCCGAGGAGGTTACCCATGCCGCTGAGGTTTGTGCCTTTCTTTGTGATTGCACCTCTATAATGTTTTTTCTTGTTCTCTAACTTGGGAGGAAATGTTTGTCCTTTGCAGGCGGGGCCCGAGCCAGATGCCGCCAAGGCCCGGGTGGCGCCAAGCTCAGAGTCGCCAGGGTTAACCACACCTGCTACTGCGCAGGCGGCCCCTGCCTCGACTTCCTTGGTTTCATGATCACTAGTAGGGGGATTGAGGCCAACCCGGAGAAGTGCAAAGCCATAATCCAGATGCAGAGCCCTCAGACCGTGAAAGACGTCCAGCGCCTGGCAGGAAGGTTGGTCTCCCTTTCACGTTTCATCCCCAGGTTGGCAGAGAAGGCAAGGCCCATCTTCACCCTGCTGCGACGGACCAGTGCGAAGAGGCTTTCAAGAGCTTCAAAGCCTTTCTCACGACTCCACCGATCCTCTAGAGGCCAGATCATCAAGTCGACCTCCTCCTCTACCTAGCCGTGGCAGAAGGTGTAATCAGTGAAGTTATAGTACAAGAGCACCAGAAAGTGCAGACGTCGATCTACTTCATCAGTCGAGTCCTCCAAGACATAGAGAAACGGTATCAGATGATTGAAAAGCTCGCACTGGCACTCTTCACCGCGGTTGGGCGTCTCGGACCTTACTTTTAAAGCCACCAGGTGGTCGTCAAAACTGACTACCTAATCAAACAAATCCTGCGAAAGCCGGAGCTCGCTGGACGAATGATATCATGGTCTGTAGAACTGTCCGAGTTCGGCATCAAGTATGAAAGTCGCGGCCCCCTAAAAGCCCAATGCCTGGAAGATTTCGTGGCCGAACTAACCCCAACCTCAACTGATGAATAACAGGTATGGGTTTTACATGTTGATGGATCCTCAAACTCTAAGGGTGGTGGTGCAAGAGTCATTTTGGAAGGCCCAAATCACGTCACCTTGGAGCAATCTCTCAAGTTTGGCTTCAAAGTGACAAACAACCAAGCAGAGTACGAAGCGCTTCTCATAGGGTTAAGGTTAGCTCACGACCTCGGAGTGCGGAGAGTGAGTTGCAACAGCAACTCAAAGCTCATGGTGGAACAGCTTAGCGGGGTATACCAAACCAAGGATACCCTGCTGCAAAGATACTTCCATGTG